GGCAACCTAGTATGAGCTGTTACCACTTGTGTGCTCTGGCTCTATCAGGAGGTCCGCAGCAGAAGACCAAGACTTTCTGTTGGTTCAAAGCTGTTTTCTAATCACCTGTTAGTTTTGCCACGCTACATGAAACAACTAAAATAAGAGATAGGAAGCAGTCCGCAGATACGGCAGCAGTTCATATCAACACAACAAGCATAGTTACTTAGAAATCAGGAATTAAAGATGCAGTGACTTTTCATTTTAAACCACAGAAGCTTTACGTTATGCGCTTGAACTTTTATTTCTTTCAGTAGCAGTTAAAAAAATTCCCTAAAAACATTACAGGCTCACCCTGGCACCCATTTAATCAACTCACACAGTCCTCTGGTATCTTACACTCTGCTTCACTGAGCCATCTAAGTATACTTGCTAGAAGTCAGTTTGCTTATCTGTATTAGAGTGGTACAACTACAAAGAGAGCTTGCTCCTGTGGAGTAACAGAAATGTCTAGTAGATAAAAAAACAAAAACATCATTAAGATACTTAACTTCAGAAGCTTCAAGCAGGTTCTAAATTATGCTCAAGACATTACATAATGTAATGATTCATTAAAAGAAGTTCTCATTTCTTCACAATCTTCAACTAATATCAAGAATCAATCACACAAACTTGGCAGCATTTTGTAGAGTGCAAAATACATCTTGAAGCAGCAAACCATAATTTTCTTCTTTATGATTTTTGGGCAGGGGGGAATATTTATGAATATTTGCTCTAACGTAATGATGTCACTGTTACTGCTCCATTATACATTACTATCCAGTCATAACATCTAGCAATTTGTAGAAGCAAGCAATTATAGATACATAAAACCAAAATCCTACAATTCACTACAGTTTTGTATTATGTTTGACCAACTCTATAAAGTTTAAGTACTGTGTCCAGTTCTGGGTTGCCCAGTATAAGAGACACATGGACATTCTGGACAGAGTCCAGCAAAAGGCCACAAAGATGATGAAGGGAGCATCTCTCCTATGAGGACAGGCTGAGAGAGCTGGGACTGTTCAGCCTGGAAGAGGGAAGGCTCAGGGGAATCTCATCAGTGTGTATAATACCTGAAGGGAAGGTGCACATAAGATGCAGCCAGGCTCATTTCAGTGGTGTTCAGTGACAGGACCAGAGGCAACAGGCACACACTGAAACACAGAAGGGTCCCTCTGAACATCAGGAAACACTTCGTACTGTGAAGGTGGCTGAGCCCTGGCACAGGTTGCCCAGAGAGGTTGTAGAGTCTCCGTCCTCGGAGATATTCAAAAGCTGCCTGTACATGGTCCTGGACAACTGGATCTAAGTGGCCCCACCTGAGTAAGGGGTTGGAACAGATGATCTCCAGAGGTCCCTTCCAACCTCAACCATCCTGTGGTTTTATAGAAGAATATAATACACATTATATATATAGTCCATACAGTGTATTATACTCTACTTGGCAGAGTACCATGAGATAAAGCCCTGGAGGAAAGAGGGGCACAAGAAAGTTGGTTAATATTAAAAGATCACCTCCTCCAAGCTCAGGAGTGATGCATACTGACAAAGAGGAAACTAGGTAAACCAGAAGGCCTGAATGGCTGAACAAGGAGGTTCTGGACAAGCTCAAACACAAAAAGAAAGCCTACAGAGAGTCAAAGCAAGGACAGGTAGCCTGGGAAAAATACAGAGAAACTCTTCAAGCAGCCAGGGATCAGGTTAGGAAGGCCAAAGCCCTAACAGAATTAAATTTGGCCAGGGACATCAAGGGCAACAGGAAAAACTTCTATAGGTACATCAGTGGTAGAAGGAAGACTAGGGAAAATGTGGCCCCTCTCCAGAAGGGAACGGGAGACTTGGTTACTCAGGATATGGAAAAGGCTGAGGTACTTAAATTTTTTGCTTCAGTCTTCATTGGCAAGTGCTCCAGCCACACTGCCCAAGACACAGAAGGCAAAGGCAGGGACTAGGAGAATAAAGAACTGTCCACTGTAGGAGAAGATTAGATCTGAGACCATCTAAGGAACCTGAAGGTGTACAAGTCCATGGGACCTGACGAGATTCATCTACAGGTCCTGAAGGAACAGGCAGGTGAAGTGGTTAAGCCACTATCCATCATATTTGAGAACTCGTGGCAGGCTGGTAAACTTCCTGCTGAATGGAAAAGGGGAAACATAACCCCATTTTTAAAAAGGGAAAAAGGAAGGCTTGGAGAATTAAAGGTCAGTTGGTCTCACCTCTGTGCCTGCCAAGATCATGGAGCGGATCCTCCTGGAAACTATGCTAAGGCATAAGGAGGTGATTGGTGACAGCCAACAAAGCTTCACTAAGGGCAAATTGTGCCTGCAAATTCGGTGGTTTTCTACAATGGGGTTACAGCGCTGGCAGATAAGGAAAGAGCAATTGATATCATCTACCTGGATTTGTGCAAAGCTTTGGACACTGTCCCATGTGACATCCCTAAATTGGAGAGATGTGGATTTGACAAATGGACTTCTCAGAGGATAGGGAATTGGCTGGATGGTCGCACTCCGAGTTGCAGCCAAGAGCTGCAACTGGTGATGAGTTGCGTTCCTCAAGCGTCAGTGTTGGGGACTGGCGCTGTTTAAGATCTTTGTCGGTGACACAGACAGTGGGACTGAGTGCACCCTCAGCAAGTTTTCCGACAACACCAAGCTGTGTGGTGCGGTCGACACGCTGGAGGGAAGGGATGGCATCCAGAGGGACCAGGACAGGCTTGAGAGGTGGGACCACGAAAACCGCATGAAATTTAACAAGACAAAATGCAAGGTCCTGTGCATGGGTCAGGGCAATCCCAAGCACTAACACAGGCTGGGCGATGAGTGGATTGAGAGCAGCTCTGCAGGGAAGCACCTGAGCGTAGTAGTGTGGAAAACTAACTATGAGCCAGCAATGTGCACTCACGGCCCAGAAAGCCGACCGTATCCTGGGCTACATCAAGAGAAGTGTGGCCAGCAGGTCAAGGGAGGGGATGGGATTCTCCCCCTCTACTCTGCTCTTGTGAGACCTCACCTGGAGTGCTGTGTTTAGCTCTGGGGCCCCCAACATAAGAAGAACATAGACCTGTTGGAGCAAGTCCAGAGGAGGCCATGAGGATGACCAGGGGGCTGGAGCACCTCCCCTATGAGGACAGGCTGAGAGAGTTGGAGTTGTTCAGCCTAGAGGAGAGAAGGCTCTGGGGAGACCTTACAGGAGCCTTCCAATACTTAAAGGGGCTACAGGAAAGATGGGGAGGGACTCTATCAGAGAGTGTAGTGATAGGTCAAGTGGTAACAGTTTTAAACTGAAAGAGGGGAGATTTAGATTAAACATAAGGAAGAAATGTTTTACTGTGAGGGTGGTGAGGCACTGGCACAGGTTGCCCAGAGAAGCTGTGGTTGCCCCCTCCCTGGCAGTGTTCAAGGTCAGGTTGGACGGGGCTTTGAGCAACCTTGTCTGGTGGAAGGTGTCCCCACCCATGGCAGGGGGAGGTGGAACTAGGTGGCCTTTAAGGTCCCTTCCAACCCAAACCATTATGTGATTATATATATATATATATATATATATATATATATATATATATATATATAAAAAAATCTAACATAAAGCATTAATATACACTATTTTAACACACACAGATATATAATCAAATAGGTACCAATACAAAAACTAACTCAAAACCAAGGATAAATTCATTCATGTACACTAAATAATATGACTTAAATACAGCACAAATACTTCAATGACTATAAATCAACTATGCAAAAGCACTCTTGCTGAGATACTGAGATTTCAAGTAACTAAAGGCACACATGTCTTAAAATGGTGGTCTTGTATAATCATGGACCACGGGAGTGCTGGAAAAAAAGGTTTCCTTTCTCTGGTGAAGTACACAAGGAAACCCTACTGTATCACTGATGCTCTGTAGGGGCAATAAGGAAAGCTGATCCATTCTAAAACTGAAAATATGCCTGTAGACACTCAGTTGTATTAGCAACTTCAATTCAAAAATACTGTTTTAAAGAAACTTCAGTGCTTGTCAAACTAGAAGACCAAGCCATTATGTTAGCATTTGCTGTGTCATCAGATGCAGGCATCTCTAAGGCATGACATCAGTCTGCTTAGTATAACACAGAACAATAATGCCAGGCCAAAAAAAAACCCACCCCCAACTTGTAGAACAGAAAATAAAGACAAATGTATTCTAACTAAAATTTAAAAAAAAAAAATAAAAAAAATCGCACATGTGTATGTTAGTCTGACACCTCATACAACATTTAACAATTTAGAAAGTAAAAACTTAGAAACTTTCAGCAATGGCTTGGTACCTCACTAGAATGCCCAGTTCAAAAGAGACTCAAAAGAAACTCAGTATTTATTGGCAGTCTTCTGGATGAGCAGCAATTAAATCAAAGTTTCCTAAAATAGGGCTGTAAGTATTAAACCACATGGCTAGTTGTCTAGGACTAAATCCCCAAGAACTGCATAACCCTATAAACTGCTTTTTTTATGACTAGATAGTAACATTTAATAGAGCAGCACACAATGACATCATGCTAGAGCAAATACTTGTGAACATTCAAAGGACAAAAGGGAATAAACTGGAAACAAGATTCTATCTTCTCCCCTTCAAAGAGGAGATATGTAATGAAAAAAGTTTTCAGATTTTTAAGATGGGGCTTGTCAAATTGCTTTAAAAAAACTCCCCAAATAACACCAAGTCACTTTAAATAATCAAGACCATAAAAGCCTTGATCCCTAGCATTCCAATCACAATATTCCCAATTTTCCTATTAAACACTTCATATACTAAAGAAAACTTCCAAATAGCACCTCTGAAAGTTTAACTTTTCCAGAGCTTAGAAAATCAGAATGAAATCTTAAGTCTTCAGAAATAAAAGCTGAGTCAGAGTGGAAAAAGCAACACTATTGTTAGTATATTCTTTGTCTGAAAATGCAGTGATAAATTCAGAAATCAAGTTCCTCAGACTTCTTACCTTACCACTTTTTTCCCCAGATTTCTTCTTTTTAGGATTATCCTTCCAAAGAGATTCTACAGCAATATATCCCTGAAGACTCCAGTCATACAGCTGTGTACCAGCAACCTTTGAAACAAAAGATATCAGAAAGCATAAACTTAATAATCTGGGAAATATTATTTTGCTTTGTGTTTAAGTGGAAGAAGTCTCAAAAGACAAGATCTTTAATATCTTCCTGTTCAAGCTCAGAGTGTATAGCACTTAATAAACATCTTGAAAAAACATGACACATGAGGAATAAGAAAAGCCTGCTTGGTATAATACTGTTTGAAAGCTACCTGAAAATACATCTGTATAAAAAAGAGTGAAAGATCCTGCATGGAAACAAATCTGGTTTTCTTAGGATCTGATGTTCAACAGATTTAACATATGCAAATTATTTCTTAATTTTACTATACTCATTTTAAAGACCAAAAAACCCTCACAAACCACCCAAGCTGTACTTAGTTTGTCACTATTTTGCCATTTTACATTTTCACTGCTTTGACAGAACAGTAAGAATACCCCTTTATTTCTTTTTATTTGCTAGTTAGAAGAAAGCCCTAATTTGCTGATAGATGGCTGTAATGAATAACCAGCTGCCAACTCTCAAAACAGAAGACAGACAGGAAAGAGTGTTTGCTATAATACAGCAACACATAATTTTACAACAGGAAAAATCCCTAAATTTAATAAAAGAGTATCTCCTGCTCCTTACATAATATGGAACTATAGTATTCACAGCATCCTTTAAAACTCAGGAGCATTAGGTTTTTAAAGTTGTAGGCTCAGGGCAATACTCACTTTCATATCACTATCAGTGAAAAGCAAAAATGGACAATTCACCCAACTAGACAGCTAATAAAGTAAAAAAACTTATGAAATTAAGTAATAAGAAGGTATCATCCTATCTTCCACAGCAGGGAAAGCTGGAAAACCAAAACTATGAGAACAGGGCAAGCATAAACGATGTTTCTGAAACAGTTTCTGAAAGAAATTCAGTTTCTTCCAATCTCCCACAATTCACTGCTCAGAGCACATGCATAACAATGCCCAAGGAATTTCCCTCCTATGAACTTGTTGCACTTCCCCTTGAACCCCAGACATATTTTTAGCATCCACAACATCCTGTGCCATGGCGTTCTACTGCTGGGCACGCATGGTGCGAAGAACCACCTCCCTTTATTTGTCTGAACAAAATTATGTACACCAGTTACGTATCATAGCAGTAAGTGATGTGCTTCTGGCAGAGATCATGTTACTACCTTACAGAAAAGGCTACTTAATAATTAGAATTAAAAGAAAACAAACCCAAATCGGCAACTATATTTCCAAGTCACAACTAAATCCGAAACATAGGCTGTTTTAAATACAAAGAACTAGCATACTTGTCACCACATTCGACAATTACAGGTGTACTTTGGTTTTAAACAAGTCTGTATGTATGATGCACTGAGTTCTCTCTATATTTGAAGGTGATAAATGTCATCAGAAGAAAAGCATACCAACCGCTCCAGGGATGAATGTGTTACATCTCCAAAATCCCTGAATTCACACATTACAGATACAGACAGTTACCTTCTTTTTCAAGATCAGGAGTGTTCATTCTCAAGTACTTCAACAAACTAGTTCTGAAAGTCAGAGGAGCCTATGGCTCATCTGGAAAGATAGTGTGATCAGTTGTGCAAGCAGTACAAACCTACCTGGACTGAAAAACAACCACAATAAACAAACAAACAAAGGGTTTTTTTGTCTGCAATGATATTCTGGACACAGCTATCAACATAAAATGAGAAACAACCACCATCCATAAGCCATTTGTTGTCTTGCTTAAAAATACTCCATTGAAATACTTAAAACCACTCTAAACATAAAAATATTCTCATTATAAAAGCCATATAATCAAGTCAATGAATCGCACTACATGAGAAACTGGTCATTCACATTGCTGGAGTAAAGTGGCTACATCATAAGGTACAGTAACACAGATAGTTTAGTCTGCCACAGTCAACCAATATTTCAACACTGTACACACCTCCCAAGAGCTGGGACCCACGCACACGTTCACAGTTCGCATGGGTTGAAAAATACAGTTCTAGACTGTAAGCTGAAAATTACAGGGTCAACAAGAACATAGCCAAGAAATGTTTCTAACCACCCAATGCATCCTCTCATGAACACAACACTCGAGTCATATGTTAGGCTTGTGTTTTGTATCTCCTCTTTTTCATGGAGCAGTTGAAGAGGAAGTAGATAAGTGTACTGCAGTTGCCACCACTATTCTTGGCAGTGGCAGGTCAAACCAGAAAAAGTAAAAGGAACAACAATAACACAAACAGTTCATTCAGTTGTTGAAAGTGTTCACTCAAACATTCATACAAAGAGTTCCTTTCAAAGGGGGACAAGTTTTTCAGTCATTTGGAATTCTTAATTTCTGGAAGACAACAATTTCCAGCTTGTTTGTGTTAAATTACAACATGCTAAAATACCATCTCACCATCTCTTAGTGCAACACTAAGCAAGTTTGTATTCTAAAATCTGAAGAAACAAGTTCAAAAGAGATATTGAATGTTTCTCAACAGAGACTCTGAAAGAGTTTGGAAGCAACTTTGGGCCACAAACATCTGTACTAGGCAATACTGGGGTAGCATCAGCAGTCTCTAAGGCCTGATGTGCATGTAAACAAGCTCGCTTATTTTAATTCCACACAGGACTGTAAGTATATAATATTGACTATACCATATGATATACATCAAGATTATTGAGCAGAATTATGGTTAGCAATTCTTTGTCTACATTGCACGCTGAGAAACTAAACTGAGAACCCGCTGGCTTTTCTACATTTGTGTTGTTAAAGTAGCCATAATGCAAACGAAAGTTCCACTAGAATAAAATAAATGTCAGTATTAAATTCAGTTCCCTTACCACATATACAGTCTGACCATTTGTTCAAAGCCATAAAAAGTAAAGTAATACTAGCAGTGAGGAAATAAATCCCTTACAAATCTGTGATGCATTAGAATGATTACTAAAGCAGGGAAAAATAATTAGTTTGTGCATGTCTTCCATCTCCAGTTAGATGAATAGTGTCTGAAAACTACCTATTACCAATGGTGAACTCTGCTGCTCTACCTTAGCAACTCATACATTTTCATTAAATAAAAAAGTTTTCTTCCAGACAGATGCATCAAGTATTGTACCTCAACGCAAATGTATTTTGCTGTGTTTATTTTCAACGCTCCAATGGAAAATCTTTAATAAAAGTGGGAAGGAAAACACCTAAACCTAAACACCCAAAACTCTTTTAGTCTTTTAAAGTATGGTCAAATCTGAAAGTTTACCAAATGAAGGGAACTATACCACTGTAAATGAAAAAGCAGTGATGAAGTATTCAAATGTGGAAGAAAAGTATAAAGAACATAATATAAAGCATAAATAAATTAAATTTTATGTTCCAGAATATTTCCTATATACTTCTATTAACTTGGCAAGTGAGCTTTGTACTACAGGCATCCTTTTCTAGGCTTACAGAAATTTTTTGAAAGGCCTATGAAGCATTTCAAAATAATTACTAGAGAGCAAAGTGTTTCCAATTTCAGATTAAAGCATAAAAATTATGAATAGTAAAATGTGGTATGATTAAAACTGTGCTTCTTTAGAAAATAAGAGTGTGATAGAGATTAGAGGAACTAAAACAGTAACTAGGATATCACTCTCTCCACAGAAGTTTCCAAACTCCTATGTCTAGTGTCCTGACCAAGTCAACAAAGCTAAACCTATTCCAATCAAGTTTCAGGCTCATGGTCTCATATCAGATTTTTCATTACAGTCAAACCAAGAACTGTGAATTAATCAAAGGGCAATCATGCACTTCAAAGTTTTCATAAAATAAACAAGGTATTGTGAAGCTGTTAGTAGCAAATCCATAGTTAAGACAGAACTGAGCTTCTTTAAAAACAGTAACATCAGTTTGAACATCATTCAGTCACTTCCCACTTCACTGTTCAGAAGGCAACTAGAATTTTAATACACAGTTTCCAACAGAAATGTCTAACCTTTTTCAATTTTGGTGGGTTTTTGTCTGCCACTTGTGTAATTTTCACTCCCTGAGAATAACTCAACAGAACTATCCGTATTTCGAGCTTCTGAAACCCAGAAACACTAAAAAAAAAAGATTCCATTAAATATCAGGGTATCATCATGCTGGCAGAGTCCAAACACAGTGGTTTTGCCTCTCCCTAAGTTTATGATCTTTCAGTTTTCAAAGAACATCATATGTTCTTGAGAATATCATATTTTCATACTGACATCTCAGTGTCGTTCACAAGTCCCTAATAACTGGATAGCCAATTTACCAAAGTCTGAACTATAAAGAATTTCTGACACATGAAGTATGTGCACTGTGAATGGTTAAAAGCTGGATTTGGAAAAGAATGTGCTGGAGAACTGAGTAATCTGACAGTACAATTAAGCGTGGACAGCAAGGCACAGGAACTGACATCAGTAGGGGCTGTAAACAATTGTCTGGTCTCTTCAGCTTCTTCTTTCATAGCAAACCTACTTATGCAACTGTAAGTTAATGTGCTTCTTATGTGCCCGATACAACAAATGCACAAACAGGAAAGGGATCCAATAAGCAGCAGAATTCTCAGCCCATTCCAGAATGTGTATGCTATCTGTCTTAAAACTCTTATCCAACAAAAAAGCAGAAAATCTCAATAACAAAGTTTATCTCAAAACATTGTTCTGAAGACTTCTTTACAGAACTTTTTTTTTTTTGTTATTTCAAACCCTGTTTTCATCTGCTCTCAAGATATTTCAGGCCTCCTTAGTCTTGTAAATAAATGTTCAAACTGTACTCACTAAGCATTTTTACATTAATTTATAATTACTTGAGGTTAGAGATTCAGAAAGGAATTATGTTCCTCAAACTGAAGACACTACTGTAGATGTTCAAAAAAAAACAGTCACAAAAAGAAACAAGAGTGTCTGACCATCATTCAGCCTAGACTGCTTGTTCTTTGACAAAATAACTAACGATTTGTTAAGTGCCAAGCACAGACATGGCTTTTAAAAATGGATTACCAGTTAATTTGAAGGCAGGAGGCAATAATCAAAGTAAAAGCCACTTCTCCAAATGGTATCATCACTTACCTTTGCAATAGCGACTGCTTGCTGAGGGTAATACATGGAGGCACCAATACCCATGAGACCTGTGGGATACACTAACTTCTTTATTCTTGAGCCTGTTTCATAACAAAAAACCCAAAAAACACCATAAAACACTGTTAGATTATATGTTAACCAAGACAGCTGAATGGCCCTACCCTTTTATTTATAATCAAAACAATTTTATTAAATACAATTTAGTATATTCTCTGTTCAGTCCTACTCATTTCTTAAGAAACATGATTACTTTTATCAGTAATTATTCTTTTAAAATTTTAGATAATATTTTTATTAATATCTTTCCATAATGAAAAATTACTTTACAACTATATTTACTTTAGTCATAGATAATTTATTTTAGTACTGAATAATGAAGTAAAAGCCACAGCTAAGAGATATGCAAGAGAATTATACCAACTAATACTCTTTTCTAAAAGGAAAAATTCAGGCAAAGAAAGGTTAGGATAACATTCTTTTGATACACCAAGCAGAACAAGAGACATTCCAGTACAAACTTTGTAAGTTACCTCGACTCACAAAAACTGATTTCTTCCACAATGGCGATTATGAATAATTTTTTCTTAAATCACTATGGCAATTTGCAAAGCATTTGAAAGTACTTTTAAAGTACTTACAAATTATGCTATATGCCTATTGCTCAGTCCCCAACTAAATTTTGAACAGTTTAATCAATTTGAACTCTCTATTCAATTAGACGAGTCTAAAATAATTTAACTGCCTGAAAAGTTCATCCTCTTATGACAGCTGGCCAGAAGTTGCATATCCTGGCTGGCCAGTGACAACATGCATCACTGAATCAGTTGCGGGGCATGCTGCAGTTTATCCAGTCAGAAAGGAACATAGAAGGGAACAGGTGAAGGAGAAGAACAAGCAGTACAGGAGAAAAAAAGTCATATAACAGACGTACAGGAGTCAGGACGCAGTAGTTCTGTTCCTCATAGAACAGCCTGTTCTGTATGTGAAGCCACACGTGCTTCTAATAAAGGAATAATTAATTTTGAAGAGGAAATGCATATTAGAAGTGTTTAAGGTTTCCACTAACATATGCTCAAGATGAGATGAGAAACTTAGCAGTAAACAAGAGACATTCATAAAGTGATGTTGCTAGCCTTGTGAGGAGGGAAGTTGGTACCAATTAGCGGTAAGAAAGCACAGAAAAGGCAAGCTTCACTGCTTTTAATGCCAGGGAACAGGGAAATCTTCGTCAGTGACAGCTTATCAGTGTGCCTACAGCATCACTTTAGGAATAAACATAAAAACTGAAGATAGTAATGCCTTCCAACAGGCTGTTACCTGCTGAAGGTACCCATTAGAGGGAAGTTTAGGAATACTCCTGTATCCATTCCATTACTACTCAACAAGGCTAGAACAAATTTTCTTTAAGGCATTTTACACCATGCTGGATGACTGCACAATATTCACATGATTGAAACTCTGAATACCGTACTTCCTACATAGTGGGCAGCTGTATCTTCAAGTGTTAGGCCTGGAAGATTTTTTCTGTACCTTCCAAGACAGTTTTTCCAGTAAGACCAAGAGGGGATGAGATTAAAAAAAGAGGACATTTGGTTCTAACTTTCGGTAGCATCAAAATTAAGGGGCACTTCCTTCTACAGTTTGAATACTTTCTGGAAACATCCAGTATTGTAAACTATAACCAGACAAAAAGTTTTAAAACTACAGCTCCCATCCTAAAAGACTCACAAATCAGACATTTGTATTATGAGGGATCTTTATTTTTACTAAATACTAAATTAGAATCCTCTAGTCTCTCAGATCCAGCCCCAAGACTGCACTCCCCTCACTCTCTCCCAATTTTGCTACTGTTGTAAAGGCTGGAAACTGATTTCATTCATAATCATATAACTCAAGAAGCAGGAATCTGAAGAGAAAGAACTTCAAACGGTTAAAGTTGGAGACCTTGATTTTCACTTTAAAAAAGGTTAGAAAAAAAAGTACTGCTTTCATCATCTTCACTAGAAAATGAAATATTTTTAGGACTGCATATATCGGTGCATATATTCACAGGCTGCTTTCCATTTCTACATGGCCAAGCACACACTTCCAGTTTGTTCAACACATACAGGCCCCACAAAGGTGTATTTTTATCCAAAGCAAGTCCTCACTAGTATTTAAATTCTAGAACTTTACAGTTCTGTTACCTACCAGTTTTCTTGTGTTACTTCATTTCACTGTATTAAGAATATCTCAATACAAACACAAAAGACTGTTTCACAATTAACAATTCTTAAGACAGCATTTCTATGAAAGCATAAACATATTAATTTCTTCAACTTGTGTGATGAAATTAACTGTATCATATTTCTATAGCATAAAATGATCGATGTCTGTGTGTATAGTACACTCACGAGTTCACAAGTATTTTTGCCAAGTATCACAATCTGCAGCAGCTCTGTGCCTGAACACATGATACTTTGAAGGAACTTGAATATACAACTAATTGTATGCGTGTCATAGTTCAGGAACCTCTGTATTTTACTATAATTTATTCCTCCGTAGTTTTCTAGTGACATATGTGATCAAGAACTTAAGTAATTAAAAATATTTTTAGGCTAAAAAAATAATCCTTTCCTACTTTTGTTGTAATAAGCTAGAACTGGAAAAGATCAAAGACTAGAATTCCAGTAACAAATACAGTATTCATAAACAATAATTGATGATTATTACACACCTTTTACGTGAAGTTTCTTTATAATTGTCAGAACGCTGTAGAAACAGGCTTGTACAGTTAAGTTAGATCTCATGCATCACAAATAAAAACTAGTACCGAAACCCACAAATAGACTATTTATCCCAAACCATAACATAAGCAGTTCAAAAGGTTCTCACCTCTAGCAAGAAACAATCCAACAATTCCAGCAAAACCTATCACACCAAGTCTTGGATAAAATCCAGCAGGGGGGTTTTGGAGAAATTCATAGCCTTCTGAAAAGAAGCCAGAACAAAGTGCTTTAATGTAATGTGAAAGTGTTTTTGTGATAAGGAATCATCAATACATGCTGGCAATTGTTATAAAACAAAGAGTTATCAAAACACATTTAACTATCAGGCACATTTCAGATCCGCTGGCATAAAATTCAAAGCCTTTGAGATCTCTAGTGACACATGAATGAAACTGAACATCGTATTGTATTTACCAATTTTCACAGAAGCTTCTGCCTTTGCTCCTGGGCCATCTGTTTTGTTTTGCTCTTTTACATCTAGATTATATCTTCTTCAAAGTAATGATAAAAAACTTTGCAAAATGGATTCTTACATTTACATATTAACAAGAATTAGCTTCAGTAAAACATCACACAAAAAACAAACTACAGAACAAAGGAAAGACACAGCATAAACAAAGCTCACTCCAAGATGGGGGCCTGATTCGGGAACGAAAAACTATGAAAAAACTTCCATACAAAGGAGTTCAAAAGACTGAGACTGTTAAGTTTAAGGAGAATAGGCAAGGTATCTAAAATGAGCTCTAGATAGCATCCATGCTCAGTCCTGATGAGCCTAAGTACGAAAGGATGCTTCAAAAATAAAAAATAAAAATAAATTATTTTTGATGAATTCAAAATTCTTAGGAGATCCAAAAAAGTAAACCAAAACGAAAGGCTTAACATTACAAACAAAAGACCTAACGCTTGCGACAAGTAATAAACATTGCAGGAAATTTCAGTTACTAGGCTGGGTCAAGTAAATACTACCAACTGGGAATAAATTGTGAGGCACTTTTTTTTTTTTCCCCCTCCCCTTCTTTTCCTGTACAACTGTCATTATTAGTGACATTGGTCAACATAGATGCAGGTCTCAGACTACAATTGTTTAGAAATGTAGTGTCATAAACACCTACAAAGGAAATTTGAACAGATACACAGAGCAAATAAAGTAGTCTTAAATGCATCAGAAATTATATATATAATGATGCTTAATGGAACTCCCCTTTAACCAAAGATACAGTACAGTCCTGTATTTTAAATTGCTTGTTAAGAAAACTAAACTGATTTACCTCTACCATGCTCAACAGCTTTTTCTAATCTGGGCATAGCTTTGGCATAAAGATCCTAAAAAAAAGGAAGAAAAAAATAACAACAGTAAATAGGTACCAAGTAAGTAAAATATTAACTACAGATTGTAACTGACACGATGAAGAAAAGAGGGGGGAAAAAAAAAAGGGAAAAAGAAAAAAAGTGTCAGATCCCTAAAATAATTTTATTCCCACTTCCACCCTTCACTCACATGGCTATGCTTGGTCGTCGCGACGTTTGGTATAACTTACAGCTTCTTCTCAAGTTAGTCTTTGGACACAGATAAAATACAATACTTCAAAACATAGAAGTCAACTTCAGTATTTCACCGAGTTCCTGGTCAGGTAGCTGGAAGTTAGAATTATCTCAGGTTTTTCATTGTGTGTAGGTATGACAAAAACACCTGAGTTGATACAAAGAAAAGTACAACACACTAACAACCTCTTTCCTAGAACTTCACAAGGGTACATGACTCATTCTCCAAAGTGATAAATTCCACTTTCCAAGAGACTACCTTAGGCCAACAAAACTGCATTTTTGAAGTGATGTGGAAAATGAGATGTCCATACAATGTCTGAAGTAAATCAAGGAGGACTACATCAAACCCACAAACTATTTCTAGACTTTTTTCCTCAGACTCAAAATGTGCAGGAAATAAAAGAATTCACATTGCCTTTAATCGAAGTGGAAAGAAAAATCTCAACATGAGCAACTCTGCTAATTGTTATTATGTTAATAATCCTTCAGAGAGGCAGTGTAAGACTGTCTATCACTTAAGGAACAAATTCATAAACATGCATGCCCAAAGCTAAAGCAGAGAATGATCTCGTAATAGCTCCTGAGCTGCATCTGTGCAGAAGTGAAAGCATTTGTTTAGAACACTGCATGGGGATAGTATCTTTCATTTCCTCACTGGCAAGAGTGACTTAAAAAAAAACCTGTCGTGAAAAAAAAGTGTTAGCATGTGACACACATCACAACTCTAAATGAATGTTGGTCTTATTAAAAGCCAATGAAAAAAGGCACATGCTCGAAAGACCCCAGAGGCTAGGTCTGATCTTCTGTCACAGCTCACACGTAACTGGCTCATTTCTACATCTGTTTTGAACGGACTTTCCACTACAGTTAAGCAAGCAATTTTTGAAAAGTAAAATGGATATGTGAACATAACCCATTTTACTCTCATTATCCTGTGTTATATATTTAATCTTAAAGAGAACTGATACACCCCTAAAATGTTATTTTCTTTAACATAGCAGGGGTTGGGGGAAGGAACAAAAACTATCTGACTATAGTTAAACAAGTAAGATGACCCCAAACCCATGAAGTTTACATACCCACTTCATAAAATGAGTCAGTAAACCACTGCCAGGAAATGGTTTGTTGTGTGTGAGCAGAAGAGCACATCTTACGTAAGTGACCACCACACAGACAAAAAATAAAGCAAATAGGAAAAGAAGAGGCCAGTGAGACAAAGCACTGCTCAAGGCTTAATCTGCAGTCAGTCCAACTGGGCAACTAACCTCGTCTCACATTTCTTTCCTGGTTATGGTTATCGCAGGCAACCAAACAGAAAATGCGTTTAGAAGGTCAGAGCTATAACTATACTGTGGAAAATCCCCCTTCTTAGGTCAGTACTTCTGACGGTGGCACTTTAGAAACACATCACTAAACTGAGTAACCCTGAGTATTTCTGGAAAAAAATTTTAGTGTTAAAGGTTAGCACCACAATGCAGAACTTCTAGGCAGAAAGGACACATTGATCTCAACTGCTTGGCTTTCTAAGGAGAACTGGAAAACCAGCTTGCAGCCTAACAGGATTCACAGCACCAAGAGTGCAAAGTAGAGAATCACCTAAAGTTGCCAAAGAGGCAACCAGATGACAAGGATGCCCTTGCTTCAAAAGTAAACCTCAATATTTGCTGGGTCAGGAAAGAGCAAGAAAGCCATCATATGAATCTGCAATCTAATTATCAATAATTTAGGCCTTGATTACAAAGATCTTGTTTTTTCTGTGTGCAACAAAGACTTATTTTTGTATACAATGACTGTTTAGAATAAAAATGCTAATTAATAAAATACATATGAAAGTTTTGGGGTAAGGTCCGAGGGCTAGGTTTGCCACTCCTAGTGCCCTGAGATTTTCTCTCTTCCAGAGACGCACTCCTTCCCTCAACATTCCAGTTCAGCAAATACTGACTTATTTTCTGGAAAGTTGTGTTTGGTCACAATTGCAGTAAAAGCACAACTCGGTATTGCTGCTCCAAAACACAGTGCTTGATAACTTAAGGCCATCTCCTTGAGAATGGAAAATGAAAATTTAATCACTATCCTGTCTTCCTCAGTCACGGGACAGTACCAAATCCAGATATTCCTAGATATCTTTAAGCTTAAAGTTTATTTTAAATAACAGTTCTAAGCTTTAGTTAATTTTCTTTTAATTCTCTTGGAGGGATACAACACCAAAAAGCAGGGGTTTAGTTCAGCAAATCAGTAGAAAGAAACAACTGGTTTTGTGTGAGGAGGGGGCAAATATTATGACCCAAACTGGGGAAAATTTTTAAATAATGCAGCATTTTTGAAGAATGCTTGTACAGCTACCAACTTTTACTTTGCTGGCATCTATTAATTCTGCCTCTTAAAAAAAAAAAAAAAAATCCCAGCTCAACCCTTACCACTGAACCACTACCAGATGTGATATAAAACCAGTATACCTGACACCAGGCTGTATATGGCTCCATAACATGCCGTAAACGCGAAACTCCCTCTTCCAAGTGGGTTTGTGGATTCTCCACATATTTAGTCTCACGAGCTGGAGAGGAGTAGAGTGACAGCTGTGAATATTAGCAAACAAGAGGTTAAAAACCAAAGGTGTAATTGTGTAACTAGGTCTTCAGGGCATGAACAGTCTAACCAGAGAATACCTAACACAGTGCTTACTACATAAACAATACATAATAAAAATTCAGGTACAGCTGTGAGACAACCACTATGAGCAAAGTTTAATTATACACTACAATGAAGATGACTTCTAATTGCTATGCAATTCATCCACTGCTGCTGTATGATCCAAGTCACAGGTTATAAATTAATATTAAACTAGTTTAATAAGAACACAAAACATAATTGTGAAAAATGTTTCTGGTCTTAATTAGCACTTCTGGTTCCAAGTTAACATACTAAATGCACTAGAACTCTGAAATCACAATCGATCATTTTCTATATTTGCACAAGCCATCATTAAAGAGCCTAAGTAGCTTCTAACAAAGGTAACATCCGATACAAATTTATTTGTTTGTTACTGAGCAGGAAAATGGTACAACATCCCAATGATGCAGTCATTAACCACATCAGCAACTGTCAGCAATAATAGCACCACAGGGCTGTCCACCTGAAAAGCAATGGGCATCTTCACATAATAAATATTAAATACAGTTTTTTAGCATTTAGCATCACAATGTATTTATTACAATTACCCAACCTATTTAAAATTTCTATTCTATCAAAAAAAAAAAGAGAACAAAGTCTATGCTGTTGAAGATGATCAGCAAAGTTTAGATTAAACCAAAACCTGTTAAAATTCCTATCAGTTTTTATATTACTGTTTAATATAAAGAGCTTATATTTCATACCACATTTACACTAAATTTTGTAGTTTATAATAAACTGAGTTTTACACACTGTTGCATCAAAGTGTAGATAAGTTGGAAAACAACTGTATCTCTATCATAATAAAAAAGCTGCTCACCATAAGAAAAATATATGATGACATAGAATATGTCAAATAATTCATTAACTCATGCAGCTGGATTTCCCACAGTACTTCAAAAGACAAGCATTTTAAGTCTCATTTCCCTAGGAAATTTGGCCATCTCTGGCAATCACAGTTACAATCAGTTTAACTCTGATCCTGTGAGACAACCTAAGAAGCTTGTCTGGCACCAGGACGGAAGTCTCAGAGATAAGGAAATTTCCACACATTTCATGAAACTAGACAGCTGACAGAACTGAGACCCAAACTAAGATACGCTGTGAATGGCAAGAAAGGCAGCCAAAACTCCATGGCTTGCACATTCTGCTTTGCTGAAGCTGATGGCCAAGCCAATTATTCAGCACATAAGTAACTTCAAACTGCCATCTCATTACTGACTCATACCAGTGGTGGTGGAGGGCACAAAATGGCCCAAGCTAAGGTTACTTCACTGGGGTGAAGCCAGGAGACTTCTTCAACTAGTGATCCTCTCATATTATGACCGTGAACTGCTCATGTGGGCACATCCAAAGGATCTAAGTATACACAAAAATATGTTTAATTTAGTTTCACTGCTCACATAACAACACTTTAGCTTGGGTTGAAGTACTTCAAATTTTTAAACAACTACAAACTCATGCATATAATGCTGTATTTAGGTTTTGGGGGTTTTTTTGTTTTTGTTTTTGTTTTTTTTTTAAATCTTGGAGACTGTTAAAAGCCTTTGCAACAATGCTGGTGAGTCTACAGTTTGGCAGGGTGTTTTAAAGCTCTACTTCTGCTATAACCAATTCGTAACAGAGAAGCAATAAAGTTGCAGGGTTTTTTTATTGCCACTTAGGGTATTTGCTGTTGCTTAGGTCTGAATGCTGTAAAGGAAGAAAAACTGATAAAATTCTCTAGGCTACTAAATCGGATTCAAAGCACTGCCAGACAAGAATTTTGCCTGTAAAAAAAATAGTATTTTAGAAATAAAAACTTCTGATTTCCTGTTTTACTGGAGAACATAAATGAAATTGTATTAGAATTTGCCAATAGTACTTGTAATAAAAAATACATGGTGTTACCTGGATAAAAAGCAAACAAAATATTGGATTTGGTTTTTTATTGGATTTGAAACATGATCACAAGTAAATCTACAAACATTAAAAAGTAATATCTGAATGAAGAACAGGCAGCTTTAATGTAGGAAGATCTCACACAGAAGCAAGCTTGATGTTATCAAATGGTGGATATCAAATGCACCCCTCAGGTAAAAGATGCAAAACCGTATCAACATCTCCATTACTGTAAACAGAGGAGTTTAAAGGCAAGCATACAAAAGGTGAAGAGATGTACCCAAATACTTTCATGCTTCAAAAGATCATGTCTTCCAGAATTCTGTAGATAGTTCCATATAGATAGAAGAGCACTAGGACTCTAACCATACTTACTTCCTCAATTTTCAGCAACTCCTTTTTGGAAGTCTTCTCTGAAGAGGAAGCATAAACCTGGAGAGAGAGCAAGCTCAGGCTAACAGGGGTGGCCCCCAGCCGAATTACCTAGAAACATTATAGGAAGACATGTAAATCATTAAATTCAAACAAAATGGCAACATGTCTGAACACATCCATGTAGACAATGTTTACATCTCCACATATGGTAATAAGTGATACATTATGATGCTTAGAAGGGGGAGACAGTGGTACACAATCTAATGCTCTCAGGCATTCAAATGATAACAACTAAATTATTCAGACAGTATTTGGAAAAGCCTAAGGCTGAAAGAGACAGTAGATGTAAATGCTAATCTCATCAGTTTTCATCTCAAGATCTTCTGTTTTCTCTCAATCAAAACATAATTTTCATTAACTTTCTCAGTAGAGACACTAACAACACTATATTCATATTTTAAACAACTCTGTGAACGTCCATAATACCACCGTTTTTCTGTAGTTAGTACCATTAAATTCAGTACTTTATTTCTACTTATTGTTTGCATCTAGATTAGCAAAAAAAAAAAAAAAAAA